CCCGACTAGCTCTTTGCATCGTCAAAATAGTGTTAAGTCTAAGGAAAGATCCAACATATGAGAGAGGTCCATAAATAAATTAAGAAAAATCAATAGCTCTAACTCTCGTTTTGGATCAATTATCGATATTGATTTGACTATGGATAAAAATTAAGAAAAATCAATAGCTCTGTCATTGCTTTTGGGGTGTAAATTATTCTATTGTGCAGTGCACTTATAGTCTAACATAATAAAACTATTTAATTGATACTTTGACAGGTTATGGACAGGTAACATATTTATTTTTATGTTTTTACATGTTAATTGAATATAAATTTTTAGTTGAAAATTAAGATGTTTCTGACTTCTTTTCAGGTTTAATTGTAGGCTATTAACTATCGATAAAATTGAGATTGGCAGCTTTAAAGCCAAGGATATATTTTTCATAGATTGATCGTAGAGAAAATTGCATTGGTGGTATACAAACTTATTAGGATGATGCGATTTAGTACATAAACTTGTAAAATACCTGTTTCAGTACACGAACTTGTCTAGTTCGTGAGAACGAGGACCAAAATATCATTGCTTGGTTTTTTTCACCTTTTTTCTACTATCACTGTATCGTATTCTATTTTTTATTAGAGAGGTGTATATCTAATAGTAACCTTCTCAAATATACATAATATTCTAATCAGCCCCTGAATCAATAAGATTAGCCATGAAGTGTCCTTTTCGCCTTCCTCCGCACGCATCAGTTAAGTTCATGCACCAAAATGAGCATTTTACAAGTTCGTGCACTAGATTGCACTCACCTGACAAGTTCGTGTACCGGCGATGCAATTTACTCTTGATCGTATGTATTCTTTTTATGTTTCCCTTTGCGGTTTATGTTTATCTTATATTTTGGTAAGCTCTTTTACTTCCTAATCAATGACTTGGTGTTAATAGCTATCTATAAATAGTCAAATACTAATTAGTTAGAGCGATTGCCTTCATCTATATAGTAAAATATAGTAAAGTAATGCACCACGCTCACGCTCAATATGCATGGTTCCAGCTCCGCCACTAATGCCCATGACGCCATCTTAATAAATTCTTAACTTCACCTCAAGCTTTTACTTGCACCGTGCGTACTGCGTCCGTGCCACTGTTTGAAATTCTTCTTGAGGTTAAGAAGGACCTGTTTTAGACTTCCTATAAGGAGAGCAGAAGTTCTGGAACAAAACAAAAGAAAAGGTAATTTCGAATTGGTACCAAAAATTACATTACCAATTTTTTTTAGTAAGTTAAACAGTAAGAGTTCCTTTGAAACACCTCACTGAAAAAAAAGTACGGATAGAAAAAGGAAACACACGATTTTTATCTATTCCATAATAATTTCAAAGATAAGGATAGGGTTTCCTATAAATTTTCCCCTATAATAAATTGAAAGTATCTCAAATTCTTTTTTTTTTTACAAATCAATGGGTGTTAAATGTGGTAGGCTTGGATGAAGGTTAAACAGGCGTAATTGGTAGTGCCTACGTTTAATTTGGTCATATTCTAGAAGTTCAGTACCAATTCAAACAATAACCAGATAACATTACCAAACAATTGATGAGGTAGAGAACCAAACTTAATCGATCTCAACTAGGAGAGTTACTTCTCTATCTCTACTTCTCTACTATTATAAAAATTGAATATGTTTTTGCCGGTATTTTGGTACGTCATCCGTGTATGAATCGGTTTTTAAGTTCGTTTGCTTTTGGAGATACATATATGTATTTGATTTGGTTTTTAAGATCGTTCACTTTTGGTAATACAGAAGGAATCATATAAGAATTCTGTTTAAAAAAACTCGTATAGTAACTTGAGACGATTAGACGTCTAACTGCAGCTCATGATTTTCTATATATATATATATATATATATATATATATATATATATATATATATATATATATATATATATATAGTAAATTTGTTTGGTGCTCCATGGTGCCCGGGCACCATGATTGAAATTTACTATATACCCAATTCAAATGAGTATGAAACTTTTTCAATTACTTAGGTATTAACATTAACTACTTTACTAACTAGTTTAAAGCAAGTTTGAACTGAATTTGAACTTGTTTTTGTTAGATTTTGATTCTAGGTATATAGCATCCATACATATAATTAGTTAGGTATGTAATCATGGATTGTGAAATAAAGTTAAATTTGAGTTGTTTTGTTGATAAGTATAGGTATGAATCAAATTATTATAACTAGGTATATACTCACAATTTGAAAATTTTGAAAAATTTGAGTAATTTTGTGCATTAGATACCATGGTGCCCGGGCACCATGGTGCCCCATATGAGTGTCCTCTATATATATATATATATATATATATATATATATATATATATATATATACACTAGAAAAAATATCCGTGTGTTAAAAGCTATCTTAATCTTATTATTGTTATATATTTTTGGTTTTGCTAATTAACTGTTGACAGTTTTCAGCGCTGGCGGTGCGTGCAGAGATGGAAAAAATTTGCAAGCCCTGTTCGTGCTAGCGGTGCAGGAGGATAGGAAAAATTTAGCAAGCGCGCCATGGGGATCGAACCCAAAACCTGCAACATACACACTTGCTCCATTAACCAGTTACTCCTTTGCACTTTTGTGGGAGTTACATCCGAGTTACATATTAATTATATTATAGTTACATAATAGTTACAATGTAATTACACTATAGTTACATACTAGTTACATTTGAAAGTTTTTCATCTAAAAAACTGTCGAGTGTTGTATAGCTACTCCCATATATTTTAGTTAACGAGAAATCTATTGTGGGAACTTGTTTGGATATATATTTTTTAAAAAAAATCATGAGCTGCAATTAGGAATCCAATCGTCTCAAGTTAGCAGGCGAGTTTTTTTAAAGAGATTTCTTATACGATTTCTTCTATATTTCTAAAAGCGAACGAACTTAAAAACCGACTCAAACATGGATCTGTATTTCCAAAAACGAATAAACTTAAAAATCAACTCATGCACAGATTTTTAATTTTTATAATAGTAGAGATAAATGAACTCCAACAGTAAATTTCATCTTAACTGAACCATATAACAATAATAAGATTAAAATAGACTTCACCCGTTGCAATGCACGGGCATTTTTTCTAGTACTTAAAAAAATAATAGGTGCTTTCGTCGTCCGTCAAAAAAACCGGCCAAAAAAAGGGCGAAAAAAAGAAAATAAACAAATTGTCCGATCCAAAAAGAGGGCGAAAAAACCGGCTTAAAACAAATCGTGCGAAGAAACCAGGCGAAAAAAGGAAAAGAAAAATTAAATCCGTCCGATCAAAAAAGGGGCGAAAAAAAGGAAAAGAAAAACGAATCCAACTCCGTCAACGCAGTAAAAAAGGGCGAAAAAAAATAAAAAAGAATCTGTCTGATTCCAAAGAAAAAGAAATTATATATGACGCGGTTAAAAAAATATCAAATCCTATTATATTATCTCTATCTCTACTACTTAAAAAAAATCTCTATCTCTAACTCTAACTCTACTTATATGATATGAGCTGTTTCCGTCCTCTGTGAAAAAAAATCGGGCGAAAAAAAAACGGACGAAAAAAAGCTAATCCTATTCCGTCTAAAGAAAAGGGCGAAAAAAAACCAATAATCATGAAAAAAAACGGGCGAAAAAATTCGGGTGAAAAAAAACCGTGCAAAAAACAACAACGATTCCGTGTAAAATAGGAATCGGTAAAAAAAACCGGGTGAAAAAACCAGACAAAAAAACGAATCTGATTCCGTGGACGCGGTAAAAAGAGGGGAAAAAAAACGAATTATGTCTGATTAAAAAAAGAATTATATGTGATGCCGTAAAAAAAATTTGAATCCTATTATATGTGACACGGTACTATATATCTCTATCTTCTCTATCTCTATCTCTACTACTTTAAAAATTAAAACGTTTCCGTCGTCCGTAATAACGAAAAAAGAGCAAAAAAAAAACATTAAGAAAAAAAAAAGTCCGATTCAATTTACTTCCGTCGTCCGTGAAAATCTTATCTTATCTTAAAGGTCCAGGCCGCTCGGCGCTCATCGCCATTTGCGAGCCCGCCTAGCCAGACCACCGACGCTGTAGCACGGCTTTGCACCGCCCTCGAGTGCGCCCGCTAGCTGGCGAAGCAGGAGCCGCTTGGCGGTCGTCACCGCACGCGCGCACCAGCTCACCAAACTGCCATCACCACCTTCGGCGTCGTTCTGCTCGCTTGTCGCTGGAGAGAAATAGGATCGGGAGAGAGGGATGTGGGAGCTTGGGTTTTGCCCCTCTCTCCCGGTCGTCACTTCATCCAGCACGGGGACGATCGGAGCCATCCATTAGATCGGACGGCTCAGATTTGCCCAGCGTCGGGCCACCGCCGCCGTTGATTACGCTGCGCCCAACGGGCCGCGAAAGTGCATCGGACCGTCCCCACATATGTGTGCTGCGTCAGCTGCTTGGCCTGCGAGCCGTCGAATTGACTCAACTAACCAAAGATGGGCCAGCCCAAGTTTGGCCCGGTTGGGAAGACCTGGGCCAATAGCAAATTTGATCAAACAATGTGGCTCAGATTTTTTAAATTAAAGTCCGTCAGATAAACTCATAAGTAGATTCGAAAAATAAATCTAAAACTAAATCCTAAATCCTATGCTAATTTATCAAATTAGACTCGGTCCTACCTATTTGTTAATATATCAAATTAGACTTGATTTTTACCGTTTTGAGGTTTTCAAGGTTTCCCACTATCGAACGGTGTTTTTCCCGTTGCAATGTACGGGCACTATTGCTAGTAAAAAAAAAAAGCTGAAGCCCATGACGCCATCTTAATCCTCTGCTCGTACTGTCCACCAACTAACAGGCACTTGACCTCCGCCAGTCCAATCATACACAGCCACGTGTCCTGGCACTTCAAAAGTTAGTTAATGTGTTCAACCACCAGCAGCTAAACCCCGCCAACCTTTGCTTCCCGCCATTAATTTCTCCTCCCTATTTATGCTCCCCCATCCTCCGCCCAATTCTTCCCCCAAAACGCACACCCCAATCCGATCCAGAATTCCTCCGTCGCGAATCCTCCCTTGTACCCTGTTCGATCTCGTGCGCGGCGCGGAGCGGCGGACGACGACGATGCCAACGGCGGCGGCGATGGCCGGAGGGATGGCGACGGGGCCAGGCAGCCGCGTGACGCGGTACGCCAAGTCGACGGCGGCGTCGGTGACGCCGGTCCGCCCCGGCAAGACGCACGCGCTGTCGGCGCTGGACAACGCCATGGAGCGCCACGCGGTGTACCTGGTGCTCTACTACCGCGCCGCGCCGGGGCTCGACAGGGAGCCGCTCAAGGAGTCGCTGTCCGACGTGCTGTCGCAGTACCCGGCCATGACCGGCCGCCTCACGCGCCCCGCCGCCGCCGCCGCCGGCGGCGGTGGAGAGGGCGGGGAGGGCGGCGGCGCCACGGCGGCTGTGCACCACGGGTGGATCGTCAAGTGCAACGACGCCGGCGTGCGCACGGTGGACGCCACGGCGGCGGCCACGCTCGACGAGTGGCTCGCGACGGCGTCCGGCGAGGAGGAGATGGACCTCGCCTACTTCGAGCCCATGGGCCCCGACCCCTACATCTGGTCTCCCTTCTACGTACAGGTGACCACTACTCTTTACTCAAATCAAATCTAACGACAGTAATTACCTCACTTCGTGTGTTTGGTCAGAGTAGGTGAGCTAATTAGCAAAAATTAAAGATGCTAATGGACCAGTAGATCATCTTATCTATTTGTTCGTCAGTTGTTTCAATTAACATTGCTACCAGCAATCATGTCGCGAACCTACGATTTCCGGAATTTAATGCGTCTCTCTAGTCTGGTTAGTTGGTTGCTTGGAGGCTAGAATCGTACGTACTGTTACATCTCGCCGGCCAGCATGGCCATTTTCTGTCAATTGAATGCGTCACATGGAGTTGCCGTTCATGAATAATCCGATCAATTTTCAAGTTGATATTTGCTCAAATCAGCAGCGTTTAGTACAAATTTACAGTGAGTTTTTACTAGTTTTTTACGGCTATGGAGTGATCGATTCTGAACTTGTGTGAGCCCCGTGCAGCTGACGGAGTTCGCGGACAAATCGTACGCGCTGGGGCTGAGCTGCACCCACCTGCACAACGACCCCACCGCCGCCGTGCTCTTCCTCAACGCCTGGGCCGCCGCCCACCGCCGGGATAGCCCCTACCCTCCGTTCCTCCACTCGCCGGCGCTCGCCGCCAAGTCCGCCGCGCCGCCGCCGGAGCACCCGCTGCTCGCCGCCAAGTCCAGGGGCTCCCCGGACACCGGCGGCGAGATGTCATCCGCCACGTTCCGCTTCAGCGCAGCCGCGATGCGCGCGCTGCTGTCCGCCGTCGAGCCGGGCACCACCCCGTTCGCCGCGCTGGCCGCGCTCTTCTGGCTCCGCGTCGCGGCCGCCGCCGCCGACGCCGCCGCCGGCGGCGGCGCGGCCGAGGAGAGGGAGCTGACGCTCGCGCTGGACTTCCGGAAGCGGATGCAGGCGCCGCTGCCGACGGGGTACTACGGCACCGCGGTGCACTTCGCGACGGCGCGCGCCGACCTGTCGTCGGGGCTGGCGAGCGTGGCGGCCGCGGTGGAGCGGCGCGCGGCCGCCGTGCCGGAGGAGGAGCTGTGGCCCGCCATCGAGTGGCTGCACACGCGCCAGGCCGCCGGCGGCGAGCCGTTCCAGATGTACGGGCCGGAGCTGACGTGCATGGCGCTCGACCACGTGCCCCTCTACGGCGCGGAGTTCGCGGCCGGGGCGGCGCCGGCGCGCGCCGCGTGCCGCGTCGGCGGGGCGAGCGGCGAGGGTCTCGTGATCGTCCTGCCTTCGGCCGAGGGCGAGTCCGCGAGGGACGTGGCGGTGACGCTGCCGGCGGCGGTGACGGCCAGGATCTGCCGCGACGGCGAGGTGCTCCGGTACGGCGCCGACGTGGTGTTCGGCCCAAAGGTGGACACGCAGGCCTCGTAGGATGTCGGGCTGTCGGCCCACAGAAAAACTCATCTGGGTTTCTTTGTGCTTTACTTAATTTGTTGTGATGTGGCCTTCAAAAGTTCAAATGATTGATGTACCCTGCTTTGATGTGTTTTTTTTTTTGGTCTTCTGTTGTAATGCATTTCCTAGTTACAAGTTACAACCAGTCATAAGTTTTATTTATTTATTGGTAATAAAAAATGTTGAACTGAATTCATTTATGAGAGTATCACTCTATGCTATTTCGGATTATTTGCTCCACACCTTTAAAAATTGTTGTATATTTTCATCTATTGTATTGCTTGAATCACTTATTCTGAGCATTTGTTAAATTTACTTTTAAAGATATTTAATTTTTCCTTAGTAAATACTCCCTACATCCCAAAATATAAGGCATAACCGCTTTTCTCTTATGTCTCATAATATGAGGCAGACGTGCATGCATGCATACATTAACTAGTATCTCTTGGTCCAATAGAATTGATTTGTTTTAAATCCTATACCATCAAGCCTCCCAGTTACATTGCTTGCATGCATCAAGATGATTTAACCAAGGTGATTAAATGTTTTCTTGGTCTTTGTGTTATGAGTGGTTGAGCCTTATATTTTGATATGGAGGGAGTAATCTATATCAATAATTCGGTGCATAATTTCATTCCAAGGGGCCAGAGTGCCGGGCCCTCCCTCATAAAGGAATTGTCTTGTTATGTAGTTAGAAATAGCAATGTCCAAGACCGAAGATGCAGATATGCAACGTGTGAATATGGAATCTTCTGCCTTTGTAGCTTTAGCCAAAATAGGCGAATGAGTTGCTACAGACAGAAGTGTAAACTGTAAAGTTGTCGAACTGAATTTCCTTTTTTTAATAAAAATTGTTCATTTGAATCCATTTCTGATTGTATCACTATGTTGAGATGCACTTGATAGTGCAATGACAAAGGGTGTGTGATTTCAACACCAAGATCCCGTGTTCAATTCCCAACACACTCATAGTTTCCTCTTAAAAAATGTTTGGAGGGACGTCTCCTACTCCAAATCTCCTTTTTTTCCCCTATTGTATCACTCTGTTTTAATATTTGAAGCAGAGAAATGCCTCTATTATATTCCTCTCTCATAAAGAATTGCTTTATTGTGTAGTTAGAAAAAGCAATGCCCAAAAACAGCTCTTTTTTTATCGCTCTGTTTTAATATTTGAAGCAGAGAAATACCTCTATTATATTCCTCTATCATAAAGGAATTGCTTGATTGTGTAGTTAGAAAAGCAATGCCCAAAAACAGCAGCAGCAGATATGCAGCTTTTGAATATCGATTCTTTTGAATGATTTGCTACTGAAGCGTAGAGTGCGATACTTCTAGTGGTAAAAATCTTCAGGGCTTTCAGAGGCCAAAAGCGTGCTAGGCACCAAGGAGATATTCCACGGCAGGTTCAGTGCTCTTTCTTCCGCCGGCTACTCGAAATAAACGTGATTTGTTTGGCCACTAATGACAATATGACATGTGCCACAATTGGACTTGTTGTCTCTGGTTGCTATCAATGTCCTTCAAAGTTCAAACATGATGAAACTAATGTATCTTAGCTGTGCAATCATGTTTCCTTCGTTTTGCATCTTTTGCATCAATATATATATCATGCGCCTTACGACCAACATGGTAACTTATAAGCATAACATTTAGTTTTTAAAATATAGTTTAAAGGTTTTTCACTATGATTTATTTTCCAGTATTTACTTTTTTTAAATAGTTAGGAACAATTATATAAAAGTTTTAGCAATAAATTATTTTTTTAATTGTTGATAAGTTATTTTGCTTATAATAAGTATAAGAAAAAAATGTTGAGTCCCTTGGTATTACAGCAGTGAGTTTATCAATAATTCACATAAAGAATCTTCTTTTTTTTTCCCGTTATCAGACTAGAGGCAAATATTCGATCTTACTTAATTTCCATCTAAAGCACACTTACATATGCGTATCATTCTTGGTTATGGGCAAGAAGGTTGGGTTTACTTCATCAACGAAACCCGATCGATTTTTTGCGATTTTCAATGTTTTCGACGTGGCTCAAAATCAATATCTGGGAGGGATTTCGAATGGTCTTTGATAAATTCAAATTTGAAACAGTAGTTTGATCCAAGTTTTGGCCTTGTTTAGTTTTAAACTTTTTCTTCAAACTTCCAATTTTTCCCTCGCATCAAAACTTTTCTACACACGTAAACTTTCAACTTTTCCATCACATCGTTATAATTTTAACCAAATTTTCAATTTCAACGTGAACTAAACACATGTCGAAATGCAATCAAAATACCACCACATGGCGCGGGATCGGGTAGTCAGTCGGAAACGTAAACAACACCGTTGTTTGTTTGTGGAAAAATATGGTTTGAGATTTGAGAACCGTACAAGAGTTTGCCGAGAACTTGAAAAAAGTACAAGCCAACGATGTGATACTATCAGAAAGGTCAAGAGATACGCACCGTGTTTAGTTTTAAATTTTTTTAAGAGATACGCACCGTGTTTTCATTTTTTTTTAAACTTACAACTTTTTCATCATATTAAAACTTTTCTACACACATAAACTTTTAACTTTTTTATCACATCGTTTTAATTTCAACCAAACTTTCAATTTTAGTGTGAATAACACACCAGATCATACGAGACGCTATTTGAGATGCGTACCGCCCTAACAACATCTCGCGTTGCGCCGCGCGCTTCTCTCCCACTCCACTCCACTCGTGCATCGGCCATGGCTGACGCGATCGGCGGTGGCGGGAGGCGGCGCCGGCTGAGGGTGTTCTTCCTCCCCTTCTTCGCGAAGGGACACCTGATTCCCATGACCGATCTCGCGTGCCGCATGGCGGCGGCGGGGCCCGAGGAGATGGACGCCACCATGGTGGTCACGCCGGGCAACGCCGCGCTCATCGCCACCGCGGTCACGCGCGCCGCCGCGAGGGGCCACCCCGTCGGCGTGCTCTGCTATCCTTTCCCCGACGTCGGGATGGAGAGAGGGGTGGAGTGCCTCGGCGTGGCCGCCGCGCACGACGCCTGGCGGGTGTACCGCGCCGTCGACCTGTCGCAGCCCATCCACGAGGCGCTCCTCCTCGAGCACCGCCCCGACGCCATCGTCGCCGACGTGCCCTTCTGGTGGGCCACCGACATCGCCGCCGAGCTCGGCGTCCCGCGCCTCACGTTCAGCCCCGTCGGCGTCTTCCCGCAGCTCGCCATGAACAACCTCGTCACGGTGCGCGCCGAGATCATCCGGGCCGGCGACGCCGCCCCGCCGGTGCCCGTGCCGGGCATGCCAGGGAAGGAGATCTCCATCCCGGCGTCCGAGCTGCCCAACTTCCTGCTCCGGGACGACCAGCTCTCCGTCTCCTGGGACCGGATCAGGGCGTCCCAGCTCGCCGGCTTCGGCGTCGCCGTCAACACGTTCGTCGACCTGGAGCAAACGTACTGCCACGAGTTCAGCCGCGTCGACGCGCGCCGCGCCTACTTCGTCGGCCCGGTCGGCATGTCGTCGAACACCGCCGCGCGCCGCGGCGGCGACGGCAACGACGAGTGCCTGAGGTGGCTGTCCACCAAGCCGAGCCGGTCCGTGGTGTACGTCAGCTTCGGGAGCTGGGCCTACTTCTCGCCGCGGCAGGTCCGCGAGCTCGCGCTGGGGCTGGAGGCGTCGAACCATCCGTTCCTGTGGGTGATCCGCCCCGAGGACTCCAGCGGCCGGTGGGCGCCGGAAGGGTGGGAGCAGCGCGTCGCCGGGCGCGGCATGGTGGTCCACGGGTGCGCGCCGCAGCTGGCCGTGCTGGCCCACCCGTCGGTGGGCGCCTTCGTGTCGCACTGCGGGTGGAGCTCGGTGCTGGAGGCGGCGTCCGCCGGCGTGCCGGTGCTGGCGTGGCCGCTGGTGTTCGAGCAGTTCATCAACGAGCGGCTGGTCACCGAGGTGGTGGCGTTCGGCGCGCGCGTGCGGGGCGGCGGGAGGCGGAGCGCGAGGGAGGGCGAGCCGGAGACGGTGCCGGCGGAGGCGGTGGCGCGCGCGGTGGCCGGGATCATGGCGCGCGGCGGCGACGGGGACAGGGCGAGGGCCAGGGCGCGCGTGCTGGCGGAGCGCGCGCGCGCCGCGGTGGGCGAGGGCGGGTCGTCGTGGCGCGACATCCACCGCCTGATCGACGATCTGACGGAGGCCACGGCCTCCCCGGAGCCGCAGTTGCAGTAGATCCGAAGATCTCATCTGAGACAGATTAATAAGATAGGATTTGTAGCTTCCCTTTACTTGTCGCTAATTCGTATGCACTCTGTAATGGTCTTTATGAATACATTTCTTAATAGTTGCTTGAATATCTATCTGTGTTTTTAACACAAGAGATCAAAGTTTGCTCGGTGAATTTTCAGCTGGCAAACCAACAAACCATTTCAATCTTCAACTACGGGCAAAACTGTGTTGGTATTTTTTGGGACAGCGGAGCTTTTGTCCTGACTGGGAGAGACATAGGAAGCAATATCTGCACATTTCTGTCGAAGTCGAAGTTGCCACTGCCAAATCCTACCTCTCTTCCAAATGCGAAGATCTCATCTGATTGACAAGGTAGAATTTGTAGCTTTCCTTTTACGTCTTGCAATATATGTCCACCCAACAGAGTGATAATCTTCAGGAATGAATATTGACTTGAATATCTGTATTTTAAACAGAAAATAATTCAAGTTTGGTCGGTGAAGTTTCAGCTGGCAAACCAATAAACCATATGTTTATTTTCCTCTGGATCATTTGGCAAGCTTTCAATCTTCAACTACGTGCAATAATAAAGCTTTTCCAGGACCTTTTTTATTGTACTAAAAAAGAAAAGAAAAAGGATGCTTCAGGGTCTGCAGACTACTTCACAATATTATTGAGCCCAGAAGAGGCCTGCAGCTCTATAGCCCATACAAGCAATGAACCATTTCGTCGAAGGCCCAAAGGGTAAAAAACAAAACTTTACTTCGTCTTTATTAAGTTACATGCACCAGCCAGTTGCACCTAAAAGCCTAAACTGATAGGGAAAGGCGGGCAATTCACTTTATACACTCCAACACTCCCCCTCACGCGAGACCCCCTCAAGTCTCAAGCGTGGAATATTGGAGTGGGCTACAATTATTTTATTTAATTGCGCGCCAGCCAGGATTCGAAATTATTTTATTTAATTGCGCGCCAGCCAGGATTCGAACTCGAGACATTTGGCTCTGATACCATATTAAGTTGCATGCACCAGCCAGTTGCACCTAAAAGCCTAAGCTGATAAGGAAAGGCGGGCAATTCACTTTATACACTCCAACCGTCTTCCCCAATTGCGGTATGGGAGCCTCGCCCATTCTAATTATTTGATGTTAGGTCATTCCCTAATATTCATATCTTTTTTCAATTGCGGTATGAGGGGTCGCTCGACTGGTTGCTTGTTAGGGCAAGTATTACAAGCATCCAAGTAAAATCTCCTAAATGTCACATAAGGTTAAGTAGTGAGGTGGAAGAGAAAAGAGATGAGAGAGATATGAAGTCACCCCTCATACAAGAGGCAACCCCTACATAAAATTCAAGACAAAAGAAGAGAGATGAAGAGTAGATTGGGCAAATAAACATTAGAGCTAGTGTATTAGAATTAGTATATATGTGATATAATGTACATATTATCTATATTTATTAGTTGATGATATGATTAAGATTAGATGTAGCACTATCTCTTTTATAAAACTTGCCCTTAGTGATCTCGGTAGGTGCTCCTCTAGTGTCCAGGTCCATGCTCAGGGAAAGTTCTCACGCTTCGTTTCATGCGGCTTGTCGTGAACACGGCCTGTGGCAACGAGTTCATATCTTCCAACCAAGTCCACCGGCAGGCGGCAGCGGTGCAGAGGCGATGAGCTTCACACGGCACCTCATTGGCAAACTCATGCATCCCATGATGTGGAGCGGTAGCAGACTTGCCGAGGACTATAGCCGCCTCCACCATCAACTCCTTCAAATGACAATGCCGCCCGACGGTGGTCGTGAGGCCATCCACCTCCGCGAATCTTCGCTGTCACTACTGCTCAGTCTTGGCCGCTGCTTGGCTTCCTCGAACCAATTAAGAGGTTTCACTCACACGTGAGGCCACGGTATTTTTCTATCTTTTTCCTTAATATAATACCACCTCAACCTACCATGTCAGTAGAAACCACTTCCTAAACCACTAACACAATCAATTTACATCGGTTTTTAAAGTGGAGAAAAACTTTATACCGTTAAAGACCATGATAAGATGAGAGGGGGTGTAGTAGACTTATTCCATCCACCTGTCTTTTCCAAAGGAACGTGTCACGTAATCGCGTGGGTACCTTGTGCCCCCCGAGGGTGAGAAAAAAGAAAGACCGTCCCCTGGATGACGTGGCAAACGCTCCAGGCCTCGGCGGCTGCATTGCGTGGCGAGCGCTGCAGCGGCCCAACACAGCGAGCGTCGTGGAACCCTAAAAGGCCTGCAAAGTGTACACAAGAGACGGGCCGTACAACTAAAAATTTAGCCTTCAACCGCGGCAGTATTCGCCGGCCTTCTTCGCCACATTCGGCCCATCTCCCCCAGTTCTCCTCTCCGATTTCTCGCCGCCCTTCACGTGGCTCACCCCCCTCCCTCTCACGGCCCAACTGTCAGCCTCACATGCCAACCACGCGGCGGCGTGGCCAACCAGCATCCTCCACGTATACAAAAAGAAGGGGTCAATCGGGTGGGGCCATCTGGGCCCGCGCGGTTGGGCGAAAAGCGGGGGAGCCCGCAGCTGCAGCTGCAACTGGCAAAAAGAAAAAAAAGATAAGCTGGGATGGGTGTGAGTGGGGAGGGGGAGGAGCTTCCAGAACTCTCGCCCCGGGCCTTCCCGAACGTTCGCCGCCACGTCACCGCACTAGGCAGCACACCATCCCGGGGGGAAGGAATGGAGGCTCCGCTTCCAGAACTGTCTGGAAACTTCCGCCCCCACATCCCAACCCACCCGACCCGACGGGTATATATATAGGCCGGGGTGGGGGCGCGGATGCTGGTCCTGGTTTCGACGAGCTCCATCATCCAAGTACGAAGGGGATAAAGGGACTCATCACTCCACCCAGCTGGAGAGAAAAAAAATCTCAGCTGTACTTGCTCGTGTTCTTTCCTCTCCCTTTTCTTCTCCGCCATCATTTTCTCTGTACTTTGGGGTGTACTTCATCCTTCTGTATTTTCGGTTCTTTTTGCTCTGATTTGTCATCTTTTTTTTGCGAGCGAGCTCGTTCGCTCGCCAACGAACACTCCTGCTGTAGCTGTTCTTGGCGTTAATGAAAGCCCTGCATTCTCGCATTTGCAATCGCCATTTATTCAGCTGTGATCTTTGTAGAGTGTTGTGTTGATTAAGAATCGCATGATTTGGGTTCCATTGGTTTGTTTTTGCAAGAGTTTTTGTGTTTTTCTCTGATCCCCTTTCAGCTGATTGAATGATCATCTTCTCCCCTAATTCTCCATCTGTCTTTGGTGGTGATTGATCACTTAAACTCTACACAATTTGATATTTTTTGCAAACTTTTCAGAGGCAAGATCGTTCCAGATTGAATTCGTTCGGTGGAGGGCGATATATTTTTTTTCGGCAAGGATCGCCATTCTCACCGGTCGTTCAAATTCTTCTCCTGCGTTAAGTGGCTGTGTGTGCTCTGTTCGTCATCTTCCTCTGCTACTCAATTGCATTGGTTGGTTGGTTAGACATGAATCCATTGCGCGTCATCGTGAAAGAGGAGGAGCTCGACTTCGCCGCCGCGGCGGCGGCGGCGGCGGCGGGTGAGGGCTCGCCGTCGTCGTGGGCGGTCGGCGTGATGGACCTGCCTCGTCCAATGGAGGGCCTCGGCGAGGCCGGGCCGCCGCCGTTCTTGTGCAAGACGTACGAGGTCGTGGACGACCCCGGCACGGACACCGTCATCTCGTGGGGGTTCGCCGGCAACAGCTTCGTCGTCTGGGACGCCAATGCGTTCGCCGCCGTGCTCCTCCCGCGCTACTTCAAGCACAGCAACTTCTCCAGCTTCGTCCGCCAGCTCAACACCTACGTAAGTCCATCAATGGCGGAATGCGATGCGCGGTTCGTGTTTTGGCGTGATCAATGGCGGGGTTCTTGATTTTCTTTTCAGGGGTTCAGGAAGGTCGATCCGGATAGATGGGAGTTCGCGAACGAGGGGTTCTTGCGGGGGAAGAAGGAGCTCCTGAAGACGATCAAGCGACGCCGGCCGCCGCCGTCGAGCCCCCCGTCGTCTTCGTCGTCGTCGTCGTCGTCGCAGCACCAGCAGCAGCCGGCGGCGGCGTGCCTGGAGGTGGGGCAGTTCGGGCGCGACGGCGTGGTGAACCGGCTGCAGCGCGACAAGAGCGTCCTGATCGCGGAGGTGGTGAAGCTGCGGCAGGAGCAGCAGACGACGCGCGCGCAGATGCAGGCGATGGAGGAGCGCATCTCGGCGGCGGAGCAGAAGCAGCAGCAGATGACGGTGTTCCTGGCGCGCGCCATGAAGAACCCGGGCTTCCTCCAGATGCTCGTCGACCGGCAGGCCGGCCAGCACGGCGCCCGGAACAGGGTGCTCGAGGACGCCCTCTCCAAGAAGCGCCGCCGCCCCATCGAGTACCTCCTCACCCGCAACGGCGAGACCTGCGCCGCCGGCGAGTCGGCAGCTATGCTGGCGGCGGACGGCGTGGCGGAGCCGGACGGCGACACCACCCCGCGCGGCGACGGCGGCGGCGGCGGCGGCGGCGACACCGAGAGCTTCTGGATGCAGCTGCTCAGCCTCGGCCTGGAGGAGAAGCAGCGAGAGGACGGCGTCGCCGGCGGCGTCCAGGAGAGTAACAGCGGCGGCGCTGACGTGGACAACGACGAGGAGGATGACGACGATGACGTGGACGTGCTCGTGCAGAGCATATATCACCTCAGCCCCAAGTGAAAGGTCGAGAAGGTTCCACGGCGAAAACGAAGGGTACGTTTCGTTTCGTAGGGTGACGTAATCGCAACAGTAGCGAGTAGTAGGAATGTAGGGGTAGCACTGCACTTGTCTTTCTTTCCATTTTTTTATAGTTTCGGACATCTTGTCGCCGCCCTGCAAGTTGCCAAAAAAAGCAGCCAAGCCCCACTGCCACAGGCGACGGAAGGTTCAAGAAGTCGAGAAGCTTCTCCCGCGGGGGAAGCTTCTAGAGGTGTCCAGTAAGACAGCACAGTAGCTGCGGGTGTTCAAGAAGCTGGGAAGCTTCTAGATGTCCTCTAGGACGGTGGCTTCGAATGTTCTTCTTCTGGAATTTGCACCTAGTATCAGCTAATTATGTGCGCTGTATTTTGCCCATGCTACTGCCATATGCAACTGGTGCCTCTTATCCCCCAACAGCTACTGCTGCCCTTTTAAAATTTGAAAGTTACGGAGTAATTTCAGCTGATTTTTAAGTTTCTTCATTAGTAGTTTACTTTCTGTATTGGTTGTCAAATCTTAAATAAAGTTCTACTTATAAATATCTTGGCTATACTAGTTCATTTTCCCCTTGTCTTTTGTCATGGAAGGCTGCCTGTTTTGTCGTGTGGTGACAGTTCTGAACTTTTCATCTATACTGGAGTGCTACGTGGAGTATATACATACAAAGTGCTCCATTTTGTTTGAGCCGTGCCGTGAGCGCGTGTCCTTGACCAGGGAAAAAAAATGTTTTGCTTTCAGGTTGCAGAGGACAAGAGGATGTCGGTGCCAAAGATATTTTCAAACATACTAACCGAAAAGGGCACCAAAATATCATCATCTGAAGATCTTAACAGTATCAAGAAAGTGGTTCCCAGCTCATCAAATCTAGGAGTACTACGTGGTAGGAGTATCAGGCTCCACCTGTACCTGGTGTCTTAATTAAGGAAAAAAGAACAGAGAAACGCTCGGAGAGATGATTCAGAAGCTTGACAGCGAGTATTTCAGGAGTACGGGTGTCGCTTGCTGCGAGATTTCACAACAGGAGACTGTCTGTCACGGCGTTGCTGTACCACCTCTTTAAAATGGATCGTGGGACAGGACAGTTGACACGTAGAGTAACACTCGTACTACCCGTTTCCGCTAAATGTCAAAATCTTGTACGGAGTACTATCTGGATTAAAATTAAAGTTTATCTATGAAAAGAAAAGATCATCTCAAAGCATAGAACCACTACAGGTGTACAGTACAAAAGAAATTTTACTGGGCCTCTCACACATAAAAAGGAGAAGGAACAAGTCCAATTACCGTCCCTTATCTTTACTTCACGTTTAATTGACATCCCTAAATTACAATTGGCTTGTTCGGCAGAACTAGCCGTTGCAGCGCTGCAGCGCAACTACAGCAGCCAATCAGCAACTACTCCTATAGGTTTGCAACAGGACAAGCATATTACCGCATTGCTACAATGGCCATCCGCTGCAATGCTTCAGCCGTTCGACTATGACTATGCTGTACAGACGTAAAAGCGCAGGTTGGCTTGCCGAACAGGCAAATCTTCACCCTTCATCTTAGCAAAGCCGTCTAAGTTAGGTCCATAGCAGTATGAAGGGCTGGTTTTGACTTATGTGGTATTCTAGTCAGGAAAAGTTAATAAAAAACGTGTGGCCCCACATGTCAGCATCCACATGTCGTTCGTGGGGTGGTGGCGAGCGAGCTCGTCCGGGCACCGTGTGAGGAAGGTAGAGGCGAGAGAGGGAGGCGGAGGCGGCTGACGAGCTTGTCCGAGGAGAGGAGAGAGGCAAGTGGGCGGCTAGAAGAGGAGGGGGGTGACCGGGTAAGGGGTCATCGAGCTCGCATTCCTCACGGCGGTGTGCAAGCTCAACCTCGGTGACATTGGGAGCCTATGCGAGAGACCGTCTTGGATGGTGCGGAGGTGGAAGCGGCCTCGGCCTCCGCGAGAAGGTGGAGACAAAGGCGACTGTGGGTGGGCCTGCCGCGCCACCAGCCACCGCCACCACAGATAGCCGCGATGCCGAAGAAGATGGTCGTCAACTCCCATGCCAAGGCAACCCGCGAGCGTCACTATATTGTGGAGGCCGAGAGATGTCGGGACTGCCTGGAGAGCGCCAAGGAGGAGTATTGGGCGCGAGGCCGAGAGCTCCAAGTCCCGCGTTCCGCGCCACAAGGAGGAGGATGCCGAGGAGCACATCAAGGCTGCCGCCTGCAATGCCGGCAAGCCCCTCCAAGATCAAGCTTGCCCAGCCTCCATGCGAGGGAGGCGGAGATGGGAAATATGGGGGAGGGCGGGGACGGCTCCAAGCACTGGGGTAGGGACGATTATACCATGCGAACTCGTCGCGCGTCCTCCATGTCAACGTAGTCGTGGTTGCCTGGCCTTGAGCTTGAGGAAACCGAGAGCAGGCCATGCTTAGGCATTGCCGCTGTCGTTGTTGACTCGTCTATTGCGTTTCCCCCTCCCATAGCTCCCACCATCAGTCGCGAGCATGGCCGCCGGCAGCTCCTCGAGGCAGATGGCCGTGGATCTCCTGCAACCGCTCTCCTCAATGTCGTCTCCCCTAAGCTATGGCAGTCGCGCTTGTTGTCTCCCAAAGCTACGACGGTTGTTCTCCTCGACACCGGCTCACTCTCTGTCTCCCTTGCCCTGTGCTCGCCGCCACCTTTACGGCGGCTCTAGAACATGAGAAAGGAACGAGAGGGGAGAAGAGAAAGAGGCACTTGCACGTGTGTCCCACATGGTATTTTTATTTTCTTTTGCTGACTATGACGCCACGTCAGCGAAACCATCTATCCATATTACTAGAGGACCTGAGTTAAACGGTTTTGTCAAGATGGAGGTTGAAGATTTCGGGTATTACGGTTCAATTTTGCTACATATTTATCGACAAATTTTCTCCCAAAAATTTGACAGATGTAATTACAGTACAATCGTACTGTAATTACACTGTAACTTGTATATAATTATACTGTAACTATAATGTAACTTATCTGTAACTTTCAAAAATCTCTCCGTAACATGTTATTTCGGTAAAATGGAGGTCGTGGGAATCCTTTCACATATGTGTAGGGATGAAAATGGTTCGGATAGTTTCCGTCCGTCCTGACCAATTTTCGGATTCGGAAAAATTCGGTCGGAACTATCCGGAATTTCTCGGATTCAGAAACGAATTTGGATTTTTTTTCTCGGATACGAAAATGAATACAGTAAGGGTGATATCCGACGAAATCGGAAAACGGTCGGAAACTACCCGGGATTTTTCATCCGATATCCAGTAGTTTACATGCGAGCAAAAGGGAAATTTTTCAGCAAAAAAAAACCCGAAACCCTAGCCGGCCGCGCCAGCTTTGCGCCACCCACCGCCAGCCGCCGAATGGCCGGCGCTAGATCCATGCCACTGCAGCCGCCCGCCGCTGGCCGTTGTGGGGCCGACCGCCGAACACCTCCCTAGGGCGGCGGATCCGGCCCCTCACGAGGGCGCCGCCGCCGGATCCGCCGCCCTCGCCGCCTGCCGCTGCCGCCCACCGACGCCATCGCCGGCTCGCCGCCCACCGAAGCCGTCGTGGCAATCGAGCCCGCTGCCGCCGCCCGCCGCGCGAGCCCGCCCGTCGCCGCTCGTCGCGTGTCGCGCCGCTCTCGGCCGGCCGCCGCCCGCTCGGCCCCGCGTAGTGAGATAGAAAGAGTAAAAAGTGTGTGTCTGTGAGAGAGAGACGAGAGAAAGAGTCAAGAGAAGATAAGGTTGGGAAAAAATGGTAGATTTTTTTTCAATGTAAAAATCGATTTTTTTTACATGTGGCTCTTTAAAACGAATTTTAAGGAACTAAATCAACTCATATAAAAAAGTTGTCAAAAACAAAGTTGTATAACTTATTGAGATTTACCATTTTTCTTTTGGTCATTTCCCCATCCGAGTTTTATTGAACTATATAAATTTTGAATTTTAAAATATAAAAATTTAAATAATTTTTTGGGTAGTAAATGATTTCAAATGAAAAAATTGTCAAAAACAAAGTTGTATAACACATCAATATCTACAACTTTTGTTTTGGTCATTTTTCTATATGACTTTGTTTGAACCGTTTGAATTTAAATTTCAAAATATGACAACTTCAAACAACATTTTGAAATACTAAATGATTTCAACTGAAAAAGTTATCAACAACAAAGTTTCATAACTCATCAAGATCTATAAATTTTATTTGGGTCATTTTTTCATCCGACAAAGTGATAGTAACTTTGTTCACAAAATTTACATCTATCTCATCTGGTTCTATAGACTATAAGAGAGATATGTAAACTTTGTGAACAATGTTACTATCACTTTCTCGGATGAAGAAATGACCAAAATAAAAGTTCTATGTCTTGATGAGATCTACAATTCAAAATATAAATGTAGTTTTATGTTCATGACTTTTTTAGCTGAAATTAATTACAGCTTCAAAATATAATTTGAAGTTTTTGAAATTCAAATTTTTAATTGATAAAACAAAGTCACACGAAAAAAAAGTCCAAAATAATAGCGGTAAGAATACAATAACATGATAGAGCATGATTTTGGAAACATTTAGGAAAAAGAATCATCCAATTTGGAGTTCATATGAGTGAGATAAACTAGTTTTAAAGTTTATTTTTGCATACGGCTTCTTAAGACACCCTTATGGAAAAATTGATTTTTCCATGCGGGTCCTTAAGTGGTCCACATACAAACAAATGAAAAAAATTCAATTATTAAAAATAACCACTCAAATTTTTAAAAACTTTCATGTTCAACCCAAAATTTAAAATATTCAACCAATTTTCAAAAATTTCAATGTGCATGCGAAAATTTCAGTGATGCACATTAATTTATTTGTTTTATGATAACATAAATTTGTATGGAAAGTAAACACAACATTTTCTATCTCCCCCTTGCCCTTATAAATAGAGATAAAATTTGAAAATGGTGATGTTTTGTTTTTGAAAACTAATGGCTACAGCTCTTCCTTGATTTAAGAAGCTTATTTTGAGGGGTCTTAATATTTTGATAATTATTCGTTAGCGTATTCGTTTCAATTCGTATTCGCTCCATACCTGTATTCGATAATATTCGATTCCGTTTTCGTATCCAGGTTTTCGATTCCGAGAAAAAAATATGAAAACAAATATGATAGAGCTTGTTTCCGACCGTATTCGATTCGTTTTCATTCCTACATATGTGTGTACTGCGATTTTTTTTCTTCCTCACCAGAACAAATCTTGTAATAGATCTAATGATTCAAAATTGCGTGAAACTTACATACAAGTTACACTGTAGTACATGCAAGTTACAGTGTAATTACATGCAAGTTATAGTGTAATTACACTATGATTGTATTATAATTATATCTGTCAAATTTTTAGGAGAAAATTTGTCTGACAAATGTATAGGTGGTCCCTTGCGGTTTTAGGGGTGTGAATTAAACTCAACGTAAAGACGAGAGACGTCAAGTGGACTTATTTCCAAAGGAGAAATTTCATACGGGACGTGTTTCTCGGCCCAGCCCAAATATCTAGAGTACGTCTTCTACTCATGATTACGTAAATAATGAGAGACGCTATTTACTCCGCTAGATCAGCCACCTTCTCCTCGCCACGTACGACACAAGCAGCCACTCGCGCGCACATGGCCACGTCACGCAAAACCCGCAGAATTACGCGATTCGCTGAGCCCTTTTCTGCAAAAACACGCAGCCTCCCTCTTCTCCCCAATCTAGCCCGTGACCTCCTCGCCGGGGCTACTTCTCCATCGCCATCGACCTCGACCTCGCCGCCTCCTCCTCCTCCTCCTCCCCGTGCGAACTCCGGGCTCGTGCCGAGGGGGTGGACGCGCCGGTGGTGAGAGCGGACGCGGTGCGGTGGGCCATGGCGGTGGGGTGGCGGCCGGCGATGCTGGTGGTGGTGGTGGCGGTGGCGGCGTGGCGCGGGGAGGCGCTGTCGGTGACGGTGACCGACACGGAGTGCATCCACGAGTTCGTGCCCTACGAGGGGGACACCGTGTCGGGGAACTTCGTCGTCGTCGACCACGACATCTTCTGGAGCTCCGACCACCCCGGCATCGACCTCACGGTGCCCGCCCCCGATCCTCCTCGTCTTCGTTGTGCTTTTGATTTTCGATGCAAGGATCTATAACTAGATGGGTTTATGGGTTTGTTTTTTCGTGATCTGGGGCACGCTGGATTGGGGATCAGGTGGAATCGTGGTCCTCTTTTTGCGATCTGCGATTTCGCGGTGCAAAAGTTTGGGGAAATTTGGTGATATGAAGATATTTCATGAATAGGTTTCGATTTGATTTTAGTTTATGAACTAAATTAACTTGGCGCGGTGGCTGTTCTTAGTCAATTCGTTGGAGCGTGGTGCAAACTTACGAACTTTTCGATGATGTTTCGATGGATTGGCATGCTGGTCTGTAGATTTTGCTGCGTGACAGGGTCATAGGTTCAACTACGTGATAGTGTGTTTGGTGGCTTTCCACTGATCTGCTTATAAAAGTCACTACTTTTAGTTTGGGTGGTTAGTTTTGGCCAGTGGCAAGGTGTTCCAGATGATTTTACCTTGTCCTGTAGAAAATTTAAGCAAGGTTCTTCTCTATTTTCTTGATCGGGTGTAGAGTCCTGTCTCTTATGTTTTGGTGATCTTGTTTTAAAGTTCACACTTTAGGCGTTTTGGGGAGGCTGAACATTTTTCACCTCCATTGATGCCAGAATCGAATTGTTCGCTGTGAATGCCCCTTTAGTTTCTTATTAATACCCTGATATAGAAAGGTAGATGAACTTGATATTTCTTCCCAATAACTGTAGTTTAATTGAATTATGGCTATCTATAAATCCTCATCAGAATTCATTTATAAGCAAACTTTGGAGAATACTTGTGATGCAGTGTTTCTTGGAGCCACTTCATTTGAAAGAAAAGATAATGTGCCAATTTTTGCAAATGTGTTCAAAGCGCATTCTGCACTGGAGTGTGTTCTGATCATCACACATAACTAAGTATCATTGTGTTGCACTATAGCGTTATTCCACTAATAACCTTGTCTCACTTCCTTTCGTGATATTTTGTGCTCTCGTGGAATGTAGGTAACTTCACCAGGTGGCAACACTGTGTATACATTGAAGGGGAAGTCTGGTGACAAATTTGAATTTAAAGCTCCAAGGGGTGGAATGTACAAGTTCTGCTTCCATAATCCATATGGAGCACCTGAAACCGTTTCTTTCTACATTCATGTTGGGCACATACCCAACGAGCACAATCTGGCAAAAGATGGTTAGTGTTCTGGTCTTTTACCTTGACCTTTTCGCTTGTCACAGTCTCATATCTGCTTATCACGTCAATTTATTTGTTTTGAGCATTGAATCACAATCAGTTTAATATGCGATCATAGGTTTATATTTGGTATGTTCATTTTATATTTGCGTACATAAGCTATATTTGGTTGCTTTTGCAGAGCACTTGGACCCTATCAATGTGAAAATAGCGGAGCTGAAGGAAGCATTAGAATCTGTCACTGCTGAGCAGAAATACCTTAAAGCCCGTGAAGCTCGTCACCGACACAGTAAGCTTAACAATCCTTTTGCAAATGGTCACTGAAGCTTTGGCAGTTTCCTATAATCCTGCGTGTGATATGAGAATGCATAAATTTGTATGAATTTTCTGTTGGTCCACTCACCACCCTTTCCACATGAAGCAAGAAAAAACTGATCCGTTATTACATTTTAAACACTACAACATTATCACCATCAGAAAGAAGAGCAAATAGGGATAGAATGGCTAATATATGTGACTGGAAATTGGATATTATTTAATTTGGTTTGTGTTTAACGACTTTAGCCTGTCCCTTTCTTAGAGCACAATAAAGCCACAGTTTGAGTGAGACAAATTTCTGTCTGGTCTCCCACTTTTGGGCTGTTCTTCCATTCTGTCTTTGTTCATCTCTGAGCTACCTAACTTTCCTCCTTTGTTCTTCCATACTACTTTCTCAAATTCTGATCATCAATTCTTAGCTATACATTTTTTAGGGCAAATCTTGATATTGGTAAGTGTTAAGTTAGAACCTAGTCAGGTGGGTCGATGTGTTCTCAGTCAGGAAAAGGAACTTGTCACCTGTTGCTCCAAAAAGGGAGAATATCCTCTTTAACTAATATATGTTCACATTTATGGTAATTGATGTTTCACTTAGCTTCTTTGTAGGGGAATATATCTAAAGTTGTTTTCTCTTTGGCTTAACATATATTCCCCTTTATGGTAATTGATGTGCTATATATAGCTTTTTCTTGCTCTTGTAGCATGACGTTTTTATGTATTCTATTTTTCTTATCATTATGTGATCGTGGAGAGCTTATTTTGTGTTAATAAATCCAGCAAATGAGAGCACAAGAAGGCGTGTCATGTTCTACACAATAGCGGAGTACCTAGCTTTCATGGGTGCAAGCGCTTTGCAAGTTGTTTACATCCGTCGCCTATTCAGCAAAAACGTGGCATACAACAGGGTGTAGAACAGAGTCTACTTCAAGGCAGCAGAAAATGGTTGGAGCAGGAAAAAAATATTTCCAACATATTGTGTTAGCTTTTGCAGCCATTTTTTTTGGGTTTAGTCTAAAACGTGGCACTTTTAAATTTATTGCCTTGTACTTTAGAACTTCAGTGAGATATGAAGCACATTTGTTGCTGAACAAGTGAACACAGATCCGTAACTAATCTTCAAAGGGTTGATGTCTCAAAGCACCACTTGTGTTATTGTGTTAATATGACTTATGAGGGTCTTCGTTCTGATATAAATTGATCAAATTTTATCCTGGTCTATGCAATTCATTCAAAGCACAACGTTTCCTCGTTATGGAATGAAAAGGAAGTGTTCTATGTCACCGTTCCAGACAACTATAACAGGTTGGTCCTTGTATTCTGTACATGTAAAACTGCATTAGCAGTATGTAAAGTTGTCTGGAATCATGTTAAACATTACCGACCTACCATGCTCTTAACTAAGTTACTATACTGGAAAACTGATTTAAGCTTATTTTCTAGATGAACTCATAAAGTTTGAATCCGAAGTAAACAGCAAGAAGGTGGTTAAACACACAGAGTAGCAACTAGCAAACACTAAAACATGAACAATTACCATATCAATCACTTGTTGCACGGCAGCAGAAGAGGGAAACATAAGCAACAGAAAAGGCATATAAAAAGTAAATTGTACATGTATTGATCAATATCTCAGTATATAAGGAGATCTGTTTGTAGTATACATTTGCACATCTGGACATTTTACTTCAAATTGGAAGGAAAAAAAATGATTCGTTCCTGATGCCATTTTTTCCTCTTTGCCAGACATGAGCATGTAGTAAAACTGCACACGTGCTTTCAGTTTCAGTTCATCACACTCTTGGCCATTGAGGACTAACTACCTGCAGAGTTGAAGTTAAAAACCGGTCAGCAATTAGAATTTTTCATTCTGCTTAGTGTTTGTCGATTGAGAATGCAATAGGGTACGAACCTCTAATGTACTGAAAACTAATTGCATGCGACTAGCTACTACTGATGGCTCCTCTGAACTGCCCGTGACAGCCATTTGTTCCAGCTGCAAAGTTTTCACTGGTAACCTGCAACAACAGTTTTGACCCCATGCATATGATCATAATCATAAAACTTGTAAATAAAAAGAGAAACATTGCTAATTTCAAATTGTCTCACCATGCCATTCCTTTGGTATAGTAAGCGTTCGCTATTAAGGCACAAAATCCTTTCCACTGATGCAAAACGTCAGCTGACACTGGTGGGGTAGTAGACCATCTGATGATCGTTGGTTGTGGTGTGCACAGGATTGTAATGAATACTATACTGAGCCACAGGATGCATTCACGGACCTACCAAAAAAAGGGGAAATTCTCGCTAAGACGAAGAAATGAAAGCACAGGTCTTATCAAGTGTGTTTGCATGGTAAATGTGTTCTCCAGCAGACTACATGATACCTTACATAAAGCTTCATATCTTGCCAATGCGACTTAGTGGACTTCATCTATCGATAATCATTAACAAATTAAAAGAAAAAGTAAAGACATGATGATGGAAAATGCACACCAAAACTCTTCCACTTGTGTATAAAGACTAAAGAGCATATTGTCAATGAAATTAGAGTATAAAGCAAAGGTAACTGTAAACTGAGCACTTTATGTTGTGCTAACCTCAAAGGAGTGAACTTTGAAGGTCAAGCTGGTTCCTCCTCCATTGGACCGCAGAGCTTCAATCTCAAGGCCAGAATCTTCAATATCCATAAGTTCCTTCCTGAGCCCCTCTTCAGTACAGCCTAGAGCATATGCATTCACCCCAGCACTAACAAACTCCTGGCAGGATTGAAAGCACCATATTGAAGAAAAGTTATGTCCAGAAGAGAGGAGAAGAATTTCAGCGAGAAACAGTACCTTCAGGTTATCTCCACCTCCTCGGTCAATGACATTTTTATATCGCTTGAATAGGCTGATTGCTATATTGCGTGATGAGCGGAAGTCCTCATCCGACGAAGCGTTAACATGAAACCGATGCTACACACAGCACAATGATTCAGAGAAAAACCAAGAGCAGCCGAATTCATCAAAAGGAAGGACTTTGGGACAAAATCTGTACCAGCCAATGCCTTGTAGTTCTTTCACTTAAACTTCTATAGAGATAATGGCTCGCCCTGGTAAAGTTAACTTTGCAGCTAGGAACGATGTGCGGCTTCTGCACATGATGCCCTTCCACTGGATTATAAAACGCACTGCAACCTAATAGGTTGTTATGAGGAACTATGGCATGCTTTGGTGATGACTTGACCTCTTGGTAAGCACTCGGCCTAATGAACAGAGCGGTTCCATGTAGCGTCAGCATGTCTGGATGCTCATCAGCCTGCAAGCCGTCCACACATTTCTCCAATAACTGGAGAGTCCTTCAGAACTTGCCAACAGTTCAATCTGCAACAAATAAAGCTTTCATGAGTCATTCGCAACTATTAGTTACTCCACAGATCACACAACCTCATATTCAGCCCCCGAAGCATGTGTATATGTGTATACAAGTGTGCAAAATGATCAATAACAGTGTTTCTTTAGGGGGTCAAAACGGCAATGTTTCCCACACATGGTATCAAGATGTAAATAGACACCCAAAAAAAAAAGAAAAAGGGTATGCAAAGTGTATGTTGCCTCAGTCTGTATGGTACCGAACAGGCCAAAATTATGGGAATTTTTTTTAGGAAAAATAGTGTAGTACTTGCTATCTACAGTTGGTAACATAAGCAAGATATGCTACCAACAAATGCATCGCATGGTATCAGTTGATCAAAATTATGCTCTCGAAACCAAAAAAAAAAAAAAAAGTGCACAGAACAACCCACAAGGCCACCATCTCAGGAAGCCAAAACCACACCCATCTTCCTGTACTGCCTGAAGGATTGCTACCTGTATCATTCCACTAATTAATTAATCGCAGCTTGTTCATCTCCCATAAACTATGCGGCATCATACATCATGAAATCAGTACTACCTAATTCTGAAACTATCGCTTTTCCCCCTTCCAAGATTATCGGAACCGGAGAATCTACCTACAAGATCGCGACCAAAACACGCAAGAACTCACATAGCACCACGCGGAATCAAGAAACCGATCAGAAACAGCTTGCAGATGAGGAGCGGGAGGGGAATACGAGCGGATCTTTACCCGGGAGGGGAGAACAGCAGCAGCAGCAGCGGCCGGAATCCGGAGGAGGAAGAAGGGGATGAAGCGGTTGAAGTGGAAAATATAAATACGTGGAGGGGTTCCGTGCTTAAAAAATATAACCCCACTGTGTGAGTGACGGAGGGAGAAATGTAATTCGCCGGAAATTCAGGGGCCACAATAAAAAACGACTGGATGAGTGGCGACGGGGGAACGCGAGGAGAGGAAACGCCGGCCCATCGCTCTCGCTGAATCTTTGTGTTAAATGGGCCGGATGTTGGGGCTCGTTAGAATATGCTGTTTGGGCTTCTTTCTTAGTTGGGCCTGGCCCATACACAAAATATTATCATTTTTTTGGTTTGTTTATATTAACAAAATGGCGGTGAGTGGATCTAGCATTGAAGCCAATTCTCGACTTCATTTCGGTGAAAAGAACATGATTTCGGGTTAAAATCTCAGCCATGACAGAAAATTGTAAGCTCAAGGGTCTTTAGAAGAAGGGGGACACTTAGAACACATGAATTCTACAAGATTTTTATTGATCTTTAGTTCAGAATTCAGATCCTTTAAAATTCCTCTGTATCAAAGGTGGCCTAAGCATAGAATCGGAACTTTTCCCTATGGAACGAAGTTTTTGAATGAATCAATGCATCTAACGAAACCAAAAAAAAAAAAAGGAAACCTAACCCTCCTTTTATGCCTGCATTTTGACCCCCATCTTGACCAAATCCCTGCAGGCGTGTGCAATGCTAACTCATCCGCAAATAATTAATACAAATGTATCATCCTTGTACATTCCTATGATTTAGTCAAACGTGTTAAGGAGCAGAATTGGTCTACTGGCCAAGCTAGATTCAGATATGAATTAAGCTCAAAAACAAACACTCCATGACAATTCCATAATCCCACTGCTCCTCTTGATTCCCCTGGTGATATCCATACCTTACAATTCCTCCACTACTCCCTTCACACCTCACCAATGCTGCAATGCATGAAAATGCCATGATTGAGCTGTACCATTGAATCATTGTTCTTGTTCATTAGGATTGTGTTTTTTTCTAGAGAAATTAGAATGATGGTGGAGTATTTATCACCTAGGTCTAATGGCATGCATGTCATGTCATGTCATGTCATGTCATCTTTATTTTAACTCAAAATATCATACTCCCTTTAAGAAAAATATTCACGGAATGATGCTATTAAATGAATTAGTGAATGAGCTGATTATTGAGAAATGCATCTAGTAGTTGTAGATGAGAAAAGATGTCCTGATGGGATTAATTAGGAGGCTTTTATGACGCCATCACAACAATAACAACACTGCAACGCCCAAAATGCAAAAACATGGGAGAATTGCTAGCAAACGTGTCAACCAGGAGATTCATCTCTCTCGCGTCGTACTCATCAATCATCATTCACCAACCAGATAATCCACACAGCACACGCACAATGTAGAAGCTACCAACAACTTCCACCTGTGTGATGTTGCTTGCATTGGAGATGCATGTGCCTGATCACTGTGATCTTACATCCCTGATGATTACCCTATCTATATGAAGGCTCCGTTTGGTCTTAATTTGTTTTCACCTGATGTTGTCTTGATCATTGAAAGATAAACTTAGTCCAAAGCTATCTTCAAAGCAACCGATTAAGTTACTCTAGTTTCATACCACCATTTCATGATTAACCATCATAATCTGCAAAAAAGAATTCCTCAAAAATCTTATATTTTTAAACGGATAAAGTAGTGTTCTCTCATCCTTTGGTTATTAGCGGTAGCTGAAATTTAAAATTTTAAAATTAATTTAGAGGATCTATCGTCATAATTTATATTTTAGCATTAACTTTAAACCACTAACTAATGGAGTACCATTTTACCTATAAATTGTTTCATGATCATACACCCTTTATCTCCAAATAAGTTTATTTCCAATCTATCTCACACATATCAATACAAAACAAATAAGCCATAATACTCTCGTTTTCTCAAATTCCAATACAACTTTTTTAGAAACACAATACAAATCGTAATTTAATTTTATTTTATTTTCAATGTATTTTTAAAAATTTTATAAGCTATAATCTAATAATTAAAATGTTGAGAAAAAAGAC